ACTGTCCACTCTGTTCAAATGTGGATGAATGGTTATACATAGATGTGTGCACTGTGCACACACTGTCAGAGCTGTGTGAGATCACTACCATCCTGCTTTTGTGGAGGTGGGGTGTTAATTTTTTCCCCCCATAGGTTTTTAACATTCTAAAAGCTCTTTATTCCAAAGAATACTACAAGCTAGTCAGTGTGTTCAGCAGGTGTAATGTATTCTAAGTTGCTTCAGAAGTATTGCAAGTATTACGTACAACAATAAAACAGTGCATTGACATAAAAAAGGAAATTTACTTTTGGTACTTAAGTACTTTTAAAAGCAAGTACTTCTGTACTTTTACTTCAGTAAAAATCTGTCTTTACAACTTTTACTTGTAATGGAGTAATATTTGACCAGCAGTATCTGTACTTTCACTCAAGTAATGGAGTTGAGTACTTTGTCCGCCTCTGCGTCTATGCCAGTGGTCCTCAATTCCAATCCTCACCATCACTCTGCACATTTTGTATGTATCTCTTATCGTTTTAGACGTTTGTTCTATTCAACCGTAAGTGCCTTGCAAAGTGGACATCCGTACATCACGGGTTTCCCGTGCTCAGGGAGTAGGGAGCAAAGAACACTGTGTAGGGACCATGTCAATCAGAACACAGTTCATGCATGGAGCTCTCTTCTAACGAGCTGGCTATATGAATCAGGTGTGTTAAATAAAAGACACATGCAAAATATGCAGAGCGGTGGCACGCGAGGACTGGAATTGACGGTTAAGGCTTGATGGCATACAGCAAAAACTACTGGACATGCGCACATCAATATAGCGTAATTTTTCTTACACTGTACAACAATAATTACTATTTTTGCAAAAAAAAAAATTTGGGTTGGTACATAACAATATTGGCTCAGCCAGTGGTGTGTGTTTGGGTTGGAACTATTAATTGGTCTAAATAGAGGAGATCTTTAATACATTGGGAACTTTATCTGTTAGTATTCCATTCACATCAATGCTTTACCTTTAAAAAATTAAATTTTGTATAAAGAAAGCGGTCATTATCAGTCACCATCATCACCAGTGATACCATAATAATAAATAAGGAGCTATAAATAAAGAGCTTATGGATGAGATCTATAGCTGTGTGTATATGCATTGTAATACTGCTAATCTTAGATCAGTTGCTACTGGTTCTTTAATTCCAATTAGGATATGAATCATTCTAGATACTCACTGCTATGCTGAGAATACCTACAAATATGTGTTTGATAAAAGATGAGACCAGGCAACCGAGCATGCTTCGTGCTCTCAGAGGTTACATACCTTCTTTGGTTTCTTCTTGCTCTCATATTCTGTTTCTTCTCAGCTGGGTCTGGATATGGAGGAGCTGCAGGACATGGAGGAGGATGCTGGCCTAGGCAACGGAGGCCTTGGTCGACTGGCAGGTGAACTTAGTCTCTTTAAATGTGCTGATCATAAGATTAATAGAGAGCTTGGGTTTATGGGATGGTGCTTTAATTCACTTTATTTTCTTTTTCTGCAGCTTGTTTCTTGGACTCCATGGCAACTTTGGGCCTGGCAGCATATGGATATGGAATCCGATATGAGTTTGGAATCTTTAATCAGAAAGTTGTGAATGGCTGGCAGGTAAAACATACAACAGTATCTCAGTGAAATGTATTTCACCTCTCTTTGGTGCATTTGGCTCTCAGTAAATGACTGACATTATCTGGCAGGTGGAGGAAGCGGATGATTGGCTGCGTTATGGCAATCCTTGGGAAAAAGCCCGGCCTGAATACATGCGTCCTGTGCATTTCTATGGTCGAGTGGAGCACAACCCTGATGGAGTGAAATGGGTGGACACACAGGTGAGAGCAAAGCAACCATGTATCTATGTTTAATTGGAATGGAAATGTCATTATTCACATTGTGGAATACAAACTCATATTTGGGGCAGGGCTCTGAACCGGTTCAAGGAACGAAAACGAAAACCGGAAACGAACTAAATTTTATAGTTCCGAAAAGAATCGAAAATTTGAAATTGCCATTAACCGGTTAATAACGTTATTTTATCGTTCCATTTAATATTTGAAATTTGCTGTCAACCAATCACGAATTCCAGTAGTACGGCCTATGCCAATGTAACGCTGACGCCAACAAGTGAAATGCCCGCTCAGCTGTGAACTCATCATGGGTAAGTCGTAATGGCAATGCATCGGTGTTAGAGTTTATCCGAGGATAGTTTGAGAAGGATTCAACAGATCACACCCAACTGCAGCGCTTCTGTGAACGGAGAAAACAGAATAAAACTATAGGCTTACATAAAAAGGAATATAGGCATATACACGAAATATATTTCACTTAAATCACTGACAGATTTACAAAACGAAAGAAAAAATGTGCTGAGTTATGGTTCATTGTGACGCATTCCAAAGTTCTTGGAAAGGAAAACGAGACAGCAGAAAATAGTTTTCTTTATTTTGCAAAAGCTTTACAGTTTTATTTATTTTGCAAAAGCTTTACAGTTTTATTTATTTTGCAAAAGCTTTACAGTTTTATTTATTTTGCAAAAGCTTTACAGTTTTATTTATTTTGCAAAAGCTTTACAGTTTTATTTATTTTGCAAAAGCTTGACAGTTTTGAATAATCAGAATCAGAATGAGCTTTATTGCCAGGTATGTTTTCACATACGAGGAATTTGTTTTCATGACAGAAGCTTCCGCAGTGCAACAGAACGACAGCGACAGACCAATAACACAGATAATAAAAGAAGAATAAAAAGTAGAACAAGTAAATAAGAAATAAAAATATATAAATTGACAATTGTATGTGCAGGTATATTACAATAAGACAATTTGAGGTGTAGACTAAGTGTGTGTGTTAGATAAATAAGTGTATGAGTGTATAAATAGTGTTGTGTGTTCCACAGTTATTGTCAAGTGTTCATGGGATGGATTGCCTGAGGGAAGAAACTGTTCCTGTGTCTGGCCGTTCTGGTGCTCAGAGCTCTGTAGCGTCGACCAGATGGCAACAGTTCAAAGAGGGAGTGTGCTGGATGTGAGGGGTCCAGAGTGATTTTGCTAGCCCTTTTGCTCACTCTGGATGAGTACTGTTCTTGAAGAGAAGGG